TCTTACTGGCAGCTTGACCATGTAGCTCATTTTTCATCATAATGTGCTCCTTGAAACAACCACACCGTCTTTCCAGAGCAGCCTGTATTTCTCCTGAGGTTACTTTTGGGTTTTTCTTTGTATCTCAAACAATTCTTCTGGCAGTTGTGGCTGCTGCTATATGGGATGTGAAATAGAGATCCAGCCACCAAGTTACATCTGCAAAATACAGTTGTGCTCAAACGTTTGCACACAGAAATCATGAAATTTTGACATTGCTATTGAAAATATGACTGATCATCTTCTAAAAAAAATTATAGTGATCATATGAAGCTATTTATTATCACATAGTTGTTTGGCTCCCTTTAACCACTTGCCCCCCCCCCCCCCCCCCCCCCCCCCCCCTATAGCAGAAACACTGTTATAGGGCGGCAAAATTGCTGAAAGTCACGTATATTAATGTGATTTGCATTTCTGGGTAGGGGGCGTGCACCACTCTACCCATGCCACTATTGGCAGCTATAGATGTCAATCACCAGGTCCCGATCCAAGATGTTTCCCAAGTAAAACACACACAACACATTATGTAAAATAGCACACAGTTAACCCTTTGATCGCCCCAGATGTTAACCCCTTCCTGCCCAGTGTCATTATTACAGTGTTAGTGCTTTTTATTAGCACTGATCACTATAATAGTGTCATTGGGATGTCAGTGGCAGTTATTTACCACCCAGTCATTTCAGTATATATACCGCCATTTGTAGACGCTATAATGTAAACCAATTTATTTACACGTATTGGAATTTTTTTTTAGCAAAGACATGTAGCAGAATATATTTTGGTCTACATTTACGATGAAATTTGATTTTTAATATTTTTTTACTGGATACGTTTTATAGCAAAAAGTCCCAAAGATTTTTTTTTCAAAATTGTCGGTCTGTTTTTGTTTATAGCGCACAAATACCACCAAAAAAGCTCTATTTGTGGGGAAAAAAAGGATATAAACTTAATTTGAGTGCAGTGTTGCATGACCGTGCAATTGTCAGTTAAAGTAATGCAGCGCCGTATCGCAAAAAATGGCCTGGTCATGAAGGGGGGTAAATCCTCTGGAGGGCAAGTGGTTAAATCATAATGATAACAGAAATCACCCAAATGGCCATAATCAAAAGTTTACATACCCTGGAATGTTTGGCCTTGATACAGACACACAAGGTGACACACAGGTTAAAATGGCAATTAAAGGTTAATTTTCTACATCTATGGCTTTTTAAATTGCAATTAGTGTCTGTGTATAAATAGCCAATGAGTTTTTTAGCTCTCACGTGGATGCACTGAGCAGGCTAGATACTGAGCCATGGGGCGCAGAAAAGAACTGTCAAAAGACCTGTGTAAAAAGGTAATGGAACGTTATAAAGATGGAAAAGGTAATAAAAAGATATCCAAAGCCTTCAATATGCCAGTCAGTACTGCTCAGTCACTTATTAAGAAGTGTAATATTCGGGGATCTCTTGATACCAAGCCAGGGTCAGGTAGACCAAGAAAAATTGCTGCCAAAACTGTCAGAATTGTTTGGGATACAAAGAAAAACCCCACAGGGAACCTTGGGAGAAATACAGGCTGCTCTGGAAAAAGATGGTGTTGTAGTTTCAAGGAGCACAATACAACGATACTTGAACAAGAATGAGCTACATGATCAAGTTGCCAGAAAGAAGCCTTTACTGCACCAATGCCACAAAGAAGCCCAGTTACAATATGCTCAACAACACCTAGACATGGTTCACAGCTTCTGGCACACTGTAATCTGGATTGATGAGACCAAAATAGAGCTTTATGGTCACAACCATAAGCGCTCTGTTTGAAGAGGGGTCAACAAGTTCTATAGCGACAAGAATACCATCCCCACTTGTGAAGCATGGTGGTGGCTCACTGATGTTTTGGATATGTGTGAGCTCTAAAGGTATGGAGAGTCTTGTGAAAATTAATTGCAAGGTGAATGCAGCATGTTATTAGAACATACTGCCAGACAATTTGCATTCTTCAGGGAAGCCTATCCTGCCCTCAGCTAATAATGGAATCTTCTATTCCTCCTACCACTCCATCCCCCCCATAGTTATTACCTTTTGTACCACTAGCCCCTCCCTCTTAGATTGTAAGCTCCAAGGAGCAGTGCCCTCCTAACCCTCTTGTATTGAACTGTATTGTTGCTGTATTGTCTCCCGTTATATTGTAAAGTGCTGAGCAAACTGTTGGCGCCATATAAATCCTGTATAATAATAATAATTAGAATAATAATTCTTCTGCATGAAGGCTATGCATGGGAAACTCTTGGGACTTTCCAGCATGACAATGACCCTAAGCATAAGGCCAAGTTGAGCCTCTAGTGGTTACAGCAGAATTAGGTGAAGTTTTGGAGTGACCATCGCAGTCTCCTGACCTTAATATTACCTATCTACTCTGTAGAGATCTCAAGATTCAAGCAAGGCACCAAAGACTTTGCATGACCTAGAAGCATTCTGTCAAGATGAATAGGCAGCTATACCACCTGCGAGAACTATTACAAAAGATTGCACGGTCATTGATGGTAAAGGGGGCAATACACAGTATTAAGAACTAAGGGTATGAAGACTTTTGAACAGGGGTCATTTCATTTGTTTACTTCTTGCCATGCTTTGTTTTATTTTTGTGCCATTCTGTTATGACCTACAGCTGAATATATACACTTTTGAGCACAAATGTACTAGCTGAAGTTTTATGTCACTGGGAATATGTAGTCGCTACACACGTAATAAAGATCAGCTTGATATTAATAATCTTATCATCATGTGTTTTTTATGTTTTAAACCCCAATTTCTATGCATACCTTGTAATTAGATACGTATGTACATTGGGGTAGACATATTTGTCCTTTATATATGAAGACTTGGCCTGCTTTGTAGTGCTGCCCAGTGGTTGTGCTTCACTGCTCCATCTCACAATGGAGCACTGGAAACAATGCAATGCTTATGTGTTTTTTTTTTCTGTTGGTTTAATTAGATGGCTTTGTGTCTTTTTTTATACTTGACTAACCATGAAACTATGTGTTCGATATTTTCAATCGTTAAGCAGGAAAGCAAAGTAAATGCAATGCAAAGCAGAGCTCCATTTAACAGCTCATTGGCAAATTTCTATTTTTAATAAATTGGAAAAATATGAAAAACAAGCATGTAAAAATGTGAAGTCACACAATAGTAAAATTGTATGGTAAACACTACAACTCATGTCTACACTGAAAATATATTACATTTTGCCCTTAGGTATTTGTAAAGCTGAATAAAGGATATATTGGGGAAAAAAACAGGAAAATAAGTTGTAACAAAAAAGAAAGAGGATGTTAGGAGATGATGGAACAAGCAAGAAAGAAAATGAGACAAATTGACAGAGAAATCTGGTCACACAAACACAGAGGATGGGACACAGTCATCCCCCAGTTGTAAAGTTTTCAAGTTCAATGTGTTTATTTATTTTCTCCAAGTTAGATGTCAAAAGTTTAACAAGCTCGTTCTATTGTTCTGGTCACGTAGTGGGTCCAGGCAGTGAGTCACCTGATACAGTGAGACAACAGTGACCTAAATTCACAAATGCAAAGGGGGACAAAAAATAAATTCATAATAATCACAAGGATGTGTGAGCGAGAGAGAAAGGAAGGGGAGGAGGTGGTACAAATTAGGGCATAGAAAGAGCTATTTATTCAAAACCTCCCCAGAATCTCCTGCTGGGCCACCCACAGCTGTCCATGAGCAACCTGATGGCTTACGCCAACTATGACATCATATAACCTATAACCCCATTGCCAACTCAAAGTGAACTGTCCTCATGTGACGTGCCTGGGAAATAATCAGTGCTTGCAACATTTGCCACTCCAACTTGTCTGTCTTATTTCATCCTGTACAGAAACATCTGCAAGAAGTTGTAATCACAACCACTGAAATCTGTGATAGCTAAGAAAGAAATTGATGGGTAGTATGGAAGAGACTAGTAGCATTGCTACAGGGGGGCAAGGGCCCCCCTAGGTTATTCCTTGCCCCCTGTGTGCCCCTCCACTAAATTAGGCTGCCAGGCAGTGGAGGAACTATCAGGGTCACAGTGAGCAGACTTTGGTGTTCCGCCACCTGAGGGGGACCCTGAAAAGTGGAATGGGTGCCCGCTGCCATCATAGGTAGTATTAGGGTCCCTCCTGCATGCCCAAGCACCCGTGCACCCAGTGTAGTTGCTAGGGGGTACGGACTGCACCATGGTGACACCCGCCATAAGGGTGACACCCAGGGTTGTCTTTGCCATGAGGCAAAAGGGTGCTTGGAGGCCCCAGCATTCAGAGGAGGAAGATGTAACTTCCTCCTCTAGAGCTGCCTCATCTCTAGTGCTGTGCTTACCGAATCCAGGCTTACTGCTGACAACGGAACAGGCCGGGAGTCTGAGGGGACCTGTCGTCTGGACCAGGGCACTGCTGGTGAGGTGACTGGCCGGAAGTCTGAGGGGACCTGTCGCCTGGACCAGGACACTGCTGCTGAGCTGACTGGCCGGAAGTCTGAGGGGGGAAAGTAAGCAGAGGTGTCTGGCTCCAGCAGCTGCACACAGCGGAGGGGGGAGGGGACAGAGATCCCACAGGTGTACTCTAGAGCAGGGGTGTCAAACTGGCAGCCCTCCAGCTGTTGCCAAACTACAAGTCCCATCATGCCTCTGCCTTTGGGAGTCATGCTTGTAACTGTCAGTCTTGCAATGCCTCATGGGACTCATTGGTGGTCTAGAGGGAGGAAGGATAGGCTCTGCCAGTTCCTAGAGCTGTGTACACCGACAGCAACATCACCACACCATCCACAGTACTTGTGTATTATGTCTGCAGTCTCTGTTCCTTTCCTGTACTATGTCTGCAGTCTCTGACCATCTCTTATATTATGTGTGCAGTCTCTGACCATCTCTGGTACTATGTCTGCATTCTCTGACCATCTCTTATATTATGTGTGCAGTCTCTGACCATCTCTGGTAGTATGTCTGCAGTCTCTGATCCTTATCTGTAATATACTTGCAGGCTCTGAATATCTCCTGTAGTATGTCTGCAGTCTCTGACCATCTCCTGTAGTATGTCTGTAGTGTCTGACCATGTCCTGTACTATGTCTGCAGTCTCTGACCATCTTCTGTAGTATGTCTGCAGCCTCTGATTCTCTCCTGTAATATGTCAGCAGTCTCTAACCATCTCCTGTAGTAGGTCTACAGCCTCTGATTCTCTCCTGTAATATGTCAGCAGTCTCTAACCATCTCCTGTAGTAGGTCTACAGCCTCTGATTCTCTCCTGTAATATGTTGGCAGTCTCTAACCATCTCCTGTAATATTTCTGCAGTTTCTGTCTGATCCTCTCCTGTATTATTTCCATAGTCTCTGATCATCTCCTGTAGTATGTCTGCAGTCTCTGACCATGTCCTGTAGTATGTCTGCAGTCTCTGATCATCTCCTGTAGTATGTCTGCAGTCTCTGACCATCTCCTGTGGTATTTCTGCAGTCTCTGACCATCTCCTGTAGTATATCTGCAGTCTCTGACCATCTCCTGTAGTATGTCTGCAGACTCTGACTCTCCCCTGTAATATGTCTGCAGTCTCATACCATCTCAGGTAGTATTTCTGCAGTTTCTGATCCTCTCCTGTATTATTTCCCTAGTCTCTGATAATCTCCTGTAGTATGTCTGCAGTCTCTGATCATCTCCTGTAGTATATCTGCAGTCTCTGATCATCTCCTGTAGTATTTCTGCATTCTCTGACCATCTCCTTTAGTATGTCTGCAGACTCTGATTCTCCTCTGTAATACGTCTGCAGTCTCTAACCATCTCATGTAGTATTTCTGCAGTTTCTGATCCTTTCCTGTATTATTTCCATAGTCTCTGACCATGTCCTGTAGTATGTCTGCAGTCTCTGATCATCTCCTGTAGTATGTCTGCAGTCTCTGACCATCTCCTGTGGTATTTCTGCAGTCTCTGACCATCTCCTGTAGTATATCTGCAGTCTCTGACCATCTCCTGTAGTATGTCTGCAGACTCATACCATCTCAGGTAGTATTTCTGCAGTTTCTGATCCTCTCCTGTATTATTTCCCTAGTCTCTGATAATCTCCTGTAGTATGTCTGCAGTCTCTGATCATCTCCTGTAGTATATCTGCAGTCTCTGATCATCTCCTGTAGTATTTCTGCAGTCTCTGACCATCTCCTTTAGTATGTCTGCAGACTCTGATTCTCCTCTGTAATACGTCTGCAGTCTCTAACCATCTCATGTAGTATTTCTGCAGTTTCTGATCCTTTCCTGTATTATTTCCATAGTCTCTGATAATCTCCTGTAGTATGTCTGCAGTCTCTGATCATCTCCTGTAGTATGTCTGCAGTCTCTGACCATCTCCTTTAGTATGTCTGAAGTCTCTGATCATCTCCTGTAGTATATGTGCAGTCTCTGACCATCTCCTGTACTATGTTTGCAGTCTCTGACCATCTCCTTTAAAATGTCTGCAGGCTCTGACCATCTCCTGTACTATGTCTACAGTCTCCGATCCTCTCCTGTACTATGTCTGCAGTCTCAAACCATCTTCTGTACTATGTCTACAGTCTCTGATCATCTCCTTTGTTATGTCTGCAGTCTCTAAGCATTTCCTGTAGTATGTCTGCAGACTCTGATTCTCTCCTGTAATATGTCTGCAGTCTCTGATCATCTTCTGTAGTATGTCTGCAGTATCTGATCCTCCCCGTAGTATTTCTGCAGTCTCTGATCCACTCCTGTAGTATGTCAGCAGTCTGTGACCACCTCCTGTAGTATTTCTGCAGTCTCTGACCATCTCCTGTAGTATTTCTGCAGTTTCCGATACTCTCCTGTAGTATGTCTGCAGTCTCTGACATTCTCCTGTAGTATTTCTGCAGTCTTTGGCCATCTCCTGTATTATGTTTTCAGTCTCTGACCATCTCTTGTATTATTTCCATAGTCTCTGACCATCTCCTGTAGTATGTCTGCAATCTTTGACCATCTCCTGTAGTATGCCTGCAGTCTTCGATCCTGTCCTGTACTATGTCTGCAGTCTCCGATCATCTACTGTACTATGTCTGCAGTCTCTGATCATCTCCTGTAGTATGTCTGCAGTCTCTAACCATCTCCTGTAGTATGTCTGCAGTCTCTAACCATCTGCTGTAGTATGTCCGCAATCTTTGAACATCTCTGGTAGTATTTATGCAGCCTCTAACCATCTCCTGTAGTATTTCTGCAGTCTCTGATCCTCTCCTGTAGTATGTTTGCAGTCTCTGACCATCTTCTGTACTATGTCTGCAGTCATAGTGTGTTTGCAATCTCTGATCCTCTCCTGTAGTATTTCTGCAGGCTGTGACCCTCTCCTGTAGTATGTCAGCAGTCTGTAACCATCTTCTGTAGTATTTCTGTAGTCTCTGACCACCTCCCATAGTATGTTTGAAGTCTCTGAGCATCTTCTGTACTATGTCTGCAGTCTCTGATCATCTCCTGTAGTATATCAGCAGTCTGTAACCATCTCATGTAGTATTTATGCAGTCTCTGATCACCTCCTGTAGTATGTCTGAAGTCTCTGACCATCTGCTGTAGTATGTCCACAGTCTTTGACCATCTCTGGTAGTATTTCTGCAGCCTCTGATCCTCTCCTGTACTATGTCTGCAGTCCCTGACCAACTCCTGTAGTATGTCTGCAGTCTCTGATCTTGTCCTGTAGTGTGTCTGCAGTCTCTGGTCCTCCCCTGTAGTATTTCTGCAGTCTATGACCACCTCCTGTAGTATTTCTGCAGTCTCCGATTCTCTCCTATACTATGTCTGCAATCTCTGACCATCTCCTTTAGTATGTTTGCAATCTCTGATCCTCTCCTGTAGTATGTCTGCAGTATCTGACCATCTCCTCTAGTATGTCTGCAGACTCTGAGTGTTTTCCTCTCCTCCTCAGGTCTGAAGCAATACCTGAAGAAGAAAAGAAAACTCTTGAAAGCTTGTCTTTTAAGCGTTAGGTTAGTACAATAAAAAGGTAACATTGCATACTGCATTACTCTTGTGTAATGTAATCTTATTTATATATACTTATTTAGTTTTTTTTTAATAGTTTGATTTAATGGTGAAAATTATTAGCGCCCCCCCTCCCAGTTTGACGCTACTGGAGTAGGCTGGAAGCTACAGGTCAGTGAGTTTAACCACTCGTCCCTCCGGGTGGACGCCATATGGCGTCCTTACAGGCACGCGCATTGCATGCAGTTGTATACAATGGATGGCTTCCTTTCATGCCATCCATTGTATACAAGTGTATCTAGCTGTGAATGGTCACAGCGATCACATGCACAAGCTGGGCCAATCACAGCCCAGCTGTGTCATGTGATTATCTGTGGCCAAATCACAGCTAAGCACAAAAAAAAAAACCCCTGAATGAATTCATTCAGGTTAAATGCTTGCTTATAGCGAAGAAATTCTTTGCTATAAGCAAATTGTGTAAAAACAAAAAATACTGATCACTTCCCCAAAGTAGTATAATGTTACTATTGTAACATTGTACTACTTTGGTCATAGTGAAATAAGAAAAAATCTTAAAAAAGAGCAAAAAAGTTAATTAAAAGTAATAAAAAATTGTAGAAAAATGTAAAAAAAATTGTCAAATTTTTTTTTTCATCTGTCACCAGTCAGTGTCCCTGATCACCGCCATGCCAGTTATATGATGACGCTGTACTGCACTGGTGACAGTATGTAAAAAAAAAATAGTGAAAATATTTTTTTTAATTTCTTCATTTCCGAATAATTATGACAAAAAAATTACAACTTCAAAAACTTGCCATGCCTCTTATGAAGTACGTCGGACTGTCTACTTTGCAAAAAGGGGTCATTTGGGGGATATCTGTACTGTTCTGACATTCTTGGACCTCAAGAAATTAGAATGGCCGTCAGTACTTCAGAATTGATCAATTTTCAGATATATCCTGTAGTTTGTGAACTCTATAACTTTCCCACAGACTAAATAATACATCCTAATTTGGGTTATTTTCACCAAAAAAATGTAGTAGAATACATTTTGGCCTAAATTTATGAAGAACAGCGGCGTGGCCAGGCGCATGGAGCGATAGGCAGTACATCTGCTTTGCTCCTGGCCCAGACCTTCCACTAAGGCTTCTTCTCCCTCGCAGGCTATCTTCCGCCCTCCTTATGGGCAAGCATCAACACAGGACGGAGTATAACGGCGGAAGGTCCAGCGGCAATTTACAGCGCTTCCTGACCCGATCCTCGTCTGAGTCCTCGGGTGAACCTGCCAGCAGGATGGCGCCGGCACCTCTCTCCTCCTCGCCCCCCAGGGACTCTGGGCTCCAGGACGGTGGCCAGGTAAGCCCTCAGGGCTCCATCTCTCCACAAGGGGATCCAGCCATCAATTTGCAGGCCACACAGAGCATACAGGGCACACAGAGCATACAGGGCACACAGAGGCCACGCAGCCCTTCCCCAGCATCTCTCTGCTCTGAGGATGGCTGAGACCTGCAGTCCCACATGCGGTCCCTACAAACTCATCAAATCTCTCCCTACAAAAGAGGATTTTTAACTTTATGTGAAACATATTGAAAATACGCACAAACAGGAAATCTCTGATCTTAAACAAGATATCTGTGTGCGTATGGAAGAGATTGAAAATACCGCCGACGGCCTGTGTAACACTTTACAATCCCATGAAGAGACATTAATTCTCATACGATCTTAATACATCAGCTCATGTACCAACCAGATGACATTGAGAACAGGAACCACTGTCCTGATCAGAGGCATTCCAGAATCTGTTGAACCTAAAAATTTGGCTGCCGCGGTTACCGCCATATTCAATCAACTACTCCAGCAACCTAAGGATACCTATATTGAGTTGGACCGCGTACATCGCACCATGGGCCCCAGAAACCCTGATCCATCTTTTGTTCGGGATACACTATGCAGGGTCCACTACTTCAAGGTCAAGGACGCCATTATGCGTTTAACTTTCCTACAGACTAAATAATACATCCTAATTTGGGTTAATTTCACCAAAGAAATGTAGTAGAATACATTTTGGCCTAAATTTATGAACAACTATTTATTTGCAAATTTTATAACAGAATCAAAGAAAAACGTGGGTTTTTTTTCAACATTTTTGCACTTTTTTGTTAATTTAGCAAAAAATAAAAACCCCAGTGGTGATTAAATACTACCAAAAGAAAGCTCTAGTTGTGTGAAGAAAATGATAAAATTTTAGTTTGGATACAATGTTGTATGACCGCACAATTGTCATTCAAAATGTGAGAGCGCTGAAACCTGAAAATTGGCCTGGGCAGGAAGGGGGTAAAAGTGCCCGGTATGGAAGCGGTTAACATATGTAGCAGCAAAATTTATAGAATCATTCCTAAAGGGAAGGATCAGTGATCATTTTAAAGACAACTTGCTGGGCTCAAAGCAACATAGATTTACTGGAGGCAGATCATGTCAGACTAATCTGATTGCATTTTCTTATTATATCACAAATGTTGTGGACATAGCATATCTTGATTTCATCAATGCATTTCATACAGTTCCACATGACGATTGTATGTAAAAGTTGTACAAGCTAGAACTTAAAGCAGAATTATAAGCAAAACTAATTTCTTGAGGACCCCCAGGTCACCAGAACTAGTGTCCCCATTGGAAGATTTCTCCTCTGTTACTTTTCTGGGGACAATCCAAAATTTTGGATTTGGGAACGTACATTTTTTACTTTACTTTCAATGATAATGGTTAGCAGGCCAAATAGAGAGGGTGAATCTCCCTAACGGGGGCACAGACAGTGATAATACCGGACAGGTGTTCTAATCCTTCTCCACTCTATCCAAAATGTCAAAAAGAGTTTTGCCTTATACTTTAATCCTTGTGTTATTCAGTGCACATGCAGCTGGCTGAAGGATAGATACCAGAGAGTGGTTGTAAATGGGGTTCGTTCTTAACAGAAATGAATCACTAGTGGTATGCCACAAGGTTCTGTACCAGGTCCTGTACAGGGGCAGACTGACAACTCATGGGGTCCCCAGGCAATAGGGGATCATGGAGCCCCTGTGTCCTTGCCCAAACTCAAAAAAGCCTATGAAAAAGGTACCAGGGGCATCTCATGGGGCCCCCTACTGACCCCGGGCCCTCGGGCAGTGCCCGAGTTTCCAAATGGTCAGTCCGCCCCTGGTCCTGTACTAATTAATCTGTTTGTAACTGATATAACTGAAGGTTTTGTGGGCAAGGTTTGTTATTTTGATAATGACACAAAGGGTTAATATTCTTGAAGGTACCTGTAACACATAACCTAATTTGGCATTGCTGGAAGATTACTCAATGCAGTGGAAACTGCAGTTCAACATCTCTAAATGCAAAATAATGCACCTAGGGAAAAAAACATCCTCATATAGAGTACAATATTGGGATACAGTGTTGGCTAGAGCTACAGGGATAAAAGATTTGGGTGTACTTATTTCAGATGATTGCAAAATGAGCAAACAGTGTGAACTGGCAGTGTGAAACATAAATAGAATACTAGGATGGATCACTAGAGGGGTCACCAGCAGGGGAAAGGTGGTCCTGATTCCCCTACATAGATTTTTTAAATCAGATTTTATTTAGAAACAAAAATTTTTTTTCCTATTACATAGTAACATAGAGACAAACTGTCACACAGGACAGAAAGACTGAGAAGGAAACAGAAGAAAAACAGGGAGCACAAAAAATAATCAAGGTACAGCACTAAACCCAGAGATTCCCATTTTTAAAACAACGGTGTCATTGTGAGAAAGTTTGATGATTCCACAAACAGACAATGCACCCACAAAGCAAGAGGAAAAATAGTATTCTTAGTAGAAAACAATAGATTGATACATGGGGTTTGATTTACTAAAACTGGAGAGTGCAAAATCTGGTGCAGATGGTCATGGTAGCCAACCAGCTTCTAACTTCAGCTTGTTCAATTAAATTTTGAAAAAGTGGAAGCTAATTGATTTCTCTGTAGAGCTGCACCAGATTTGGCACTCTCCAGTTTTAGTAAATCTCCCCCTTGATGTCTATCAATTTAGCCTTGATGGCATTACATTTGCATATTGTATTATAGAGGAGGCATCTATGTTTTCCAAATAAGATACATCTATTTATTTCAGATTTCCACTCTTCTACTATTGGTGGATTAGCAGATACCCATTTCAAAACAAGTATTTTCAGTGCAATAAAAAGTGATCTTATGACTGCTAAGGTTAAATTGTCATCCAATGCTGTGGATTCAATATATTCTAGGTTACACATAATAGGGTCAGGGGCTAGAATTATACCATACAGATCATTTAAGATAGTAATAACTCCATTCCAATAGCATCTAAGCTTTGGGCACTACCACATTGCATCTGGCTCAATCCTGTGAATCCTCTCTGAGACCAATTTTATGAAGGAAGTCCAGTGTACGATACACTCTGTGCAGAATACAAATATGCGCCCTATATACTGTAGATCTTTTTTTTTTTAATCTAAACGAGTTTTATTATCAAGATAATAGAGAAATTGGAACAGTACTTACAGAAACCACAATGACATTACTGTAACAGCAGGATTACACATAAATAGAAC